TAACAAGAAGGAACTAAACACAGTTTTGAAAGCTCCCTCTCAAGCTTAGATGAACAGTAGCTAACATTTCAATTTTCAAGTCACCATAAAGACCAAGTATTTTCTGTTCTAGTAACAAGGTATTCTCAGCTTTGACAGAGGGCTTTTTTCCTGTAGAAGTTGTCTTCTCCCTGACTTCTGCTTTGCTTTAAGTCCAGAGAGCCAGGGTCCCTCAAGAAGAGTGAGCAGCTGGAGGAGTATGTCATTAATGCACTTCTGTGCTGAGCTTTTCACACTCAATGAAGGTTTAAAAGTGAAATGAGGATTTGTTCAGTTTGTTAATATGAACCAGAGTATAGAGGCTTGACAGCTCTCTCTCCTAAACTTCTGTACATTTGAAGACTTACACTCCAGAATGGGCAATTAAAGCATTGTGAAGTACACATCATTATCATAGATTATATTATTTGATGAGTACTAATAACAATATTTCACAATAAAGTAAAAAATAGTTGGAAAAAAGCAAGAAGTTGTTTATACATCATTTTCTTCACCCAAAACAAGTCACCACTTCTGCAGAGCATGCAGGTAGGAACATCTTCAATACAATGGATCATTTTGAAATAATCCTTGCATGAAGGAAACCATCCCATACCTAACAAAGTGGTGAAAGTTGAGGTCACAGTGTTCATTATGTTGTCAGACAAGCATTACTTACACACTTCAGGGAGTGTGAATCCAATATGAAGCATTAAGAAATTTATACCAAATGTCCAGTATTATTTTCAGAATTAAGCCAAAAAGGTATCTTCATTGTTTTTTTTTTTCTTTATTAAAAACTATAGGGATTTAAAAAAAAAGTTTTACACAAAGTGCTACCAGTTTTACATTGCTACTCTTAATTAAAAGACAAGTCAGATACAGGAACACCTTGGATTTCTATTTTTCCTCCTATAAAGCATATTATAATTTGGAGCCAAATACAGAGTATTTTATCCAAAGTGGAAAATTCAGTTTAGCTCAACCTCTACCAGACAGCTGGGAGGGGAGCTTTGCCTTAATTTGAAAACTGAAATCAAATTAGAAGTTATGGAAAAGGTAAACATGATTTCTTAATGGGCCCAAGAGTCTCTGTGGAGCTGGTAGACTCACTCAGCAGCGTAGGTGTAGCTCTGTTTAATGGCCCAAACACTGCCTGAAAACCAAGTTCCCTTGACCTTGTAAGACCTGAGATGCCTTAACTCTTTCCAGGCTGTGATTACCAATTTCCAAAGCCTCCCCAGGGAAAGAGCATGTCCTTAATATACATGCTGCCTGATTAGCTAACACTAAAGGCGCCCCATTATCTGTTACACTAACAAGCCTACAACGCAACAAGACTGAGCACGAGCAGCGCAATTTCAGAACACCTTTTAATTGCACTAAATCAGAGCAGCTCTCCCTAACCCTCGCAATGACAGAGCGCCACACTCTTCACATCCTCAAGTGCTCCTCAGAAGTGCTGCTCTTTCAGCACTTGCCTAATGGTCCTTTTCAGAACGGGGTCAGGTCCTCAGCTCTTCTGCAGACCTGCCCTAATACCAGTTTCCAAATCACTGCGCTGTTCTGCAGCTCAGCCCCAGCACTGTGTACTCTTGCTAGAAATCCCAGTTGGTGGATTTCTACCTTGCTGACTTGGATAGCTGTTACCCAAGACACGCAGCTCAGTAGTAAACCACTGTCCCTTGGCTGACCTCTGCAGCTACGTACAAACAGCTCTTCTCAGCCTCAGTTGCCTTGGAGCCTGACTGAATATAGGCAGATAAGAGAGAAAAAGCAAGAAAATAGAAGTGACCAGAAACTGAATAGCCACAAAAACACTAACAACAACGGAGCATACAGGACTCAATGCAAAGCTGCGGATAAGACAGCAGTCTCTGCCAAGTTGTGCTCTTTAAATAAACTTTTGGCAAGACTTCAGGACAGCAAAGCAGAATTTTACATATAGATTCTCATCTTGAAATAGAACAAGCCAAACTAAGACCCAGGAATTTGAATTTTTAGGGCTATATATAACTCAGTTATAGGGTTATATAAATAACTCAGTTCCTCCATACAATACCTCAAAGACCAGTAAGTTAAAGTAGTTCTTATTGCTAACCCTAATCCTTTCCCCACTGCTAAACTCCAGCTGACCAGCCTAAGTAGAAATTCATTCTCTTACAACCTCGTGACCCTCTCTTGGTATGCAATCTCCTCCACGGGATCTCTGCTTGGGAAGCAGCCCTCCTTCCCTCTTCTGGGTCCATATCAGCAAATAGCCAGATACCAGTTATCTCTCTTCTCCCAGGCTCTCCTTTGGCACCGTGGATGGACCTGTGTGCGATGGGATACAAGCAGCAGCAGAGGAATTAGAGTGCAGCTCAGCCTCAGTTGTTGGTTTGTTTTGTTTTTTTATATAGCTACCAAAACCTCAGTGCTTTCCTCTGCACCATATTTCACAAAATTCATCGTGATGGTTACATCCAGTTGTGCCCCATGTTCCTCCTTTATGTTTTCCTGCCCCAAAATGCATTCACCATTCCAAGTCAGTTCACCATGAGATGTTAAAAGGAACCACTAGATTAGTATTTACAAAGGCACCAGAGTGTTTATGCTTCTCTCTTGAAGCACTACTAACTGCACATCTCTCATTCTAGCTGCATTCACACTGGGATTTAAAATCACTTGTGAAATAGAATTCCAAAACAAAACCCTACTCAAACGTAGATTCAATGTATGCATAAACATTTATCCTTTTTCTTCCACTAATCATTCCTTTTCAGGGTGCTTCATAACAGCTTTGACGTTTCCTGCACCCACAATGAGCATTTAAAAGCCATTCAAGTGAATGATATATTGGCAATTGGAACACTTTTCCTGCTCATGTGCTGTCCTTATCGCATTCCAGAGAAAAAAAAGTGATCAAAGTTATTATTCTATCATGACAGTCCCACTTTAACCTCTTGAATGTATTGTGGGCTAACAGGACACTTGCGTGTTACCATCCTAGAAAGTCAGTGCACATGGAAAGTCCAGCAACTGGGCAATGGAGTAAACTTATTAAGAATCATGGCTTCCACCAGCATACTACTGACAACAAGTTTACTAAAAGCTTAAACTGGGATTAGAAATTAAAGAAGGATCCAATCACCGAGAGCATTTCCCCCAGCAAAGAAATCTCACGTGAACCTGAGAGAGCACTCGGCTGCAGCACTCTCCAGCTGTCGCAGCAGGACTCGGCCAGCACAGCCAGGGTCACAGCTGAGGAACACGTCTGAACAACACCCACGCTCCTGAGTATTCAGGGAATAGCCCTGTCCTCTGCCAACCCATGTTCTTGCAAGAACACAACCATCTCTAGTGTTTTACCCAGGACAGCTTCAGGGGATGGAAAAACATAGAACAGAAAGCAGACAGCAACATTTTTTTGGATCACTCAATCCTGCATCAGATTCTAGAACTAACTCAGCCAGCATTGAAGCTCTCAAGCCACTGCAATGCTAGCCCTTTCTCCAACAGTCCAGTATGGCCACCACAAAGGTCAAGAACAACATCTCCATCTCTTACATAGTTTTTTATGGCCCGCTGCCTTCTCTCTAACCATTTTGTGCAGCAGCCAGCAGTTCTCACACGTGCTGCTACCCTCAGTTTAAACATGCACACTCCAAGAAACGCCTAAACTTAGGCAGGTTGTAGCCAACTGAGTCACTGACTGCTCCCTAGACTAAACCAGTGAAATAAATTAACCAGCCTCTAGACTATACTAAAGAGCTGAAGTCAAACTTTGCTTTCCTTTCACTTCCACATGGAACTCAGCACTTTCACTGCATCCCGCAGCATCCCCACACCAGAAGCGCACATGGATGAACACGTTCAGGCACAGCCCATAGCAGCTACAGCTGCTGGACACACAACACAACTGACAGATGTTCCTGGATTCGTCCCTGGATGTGTTTAAGGGCCGTTTAGATGCGGTACTGAGGGATATGGTGTAGGGGAGGACTTTGTAGAGTAGGGTAGATGGTTGGACTTGATGATCCCAAGGGTCTCTTCCAACCTGAATGATTCTATGATTCTATGTCACAATTGTTGTGGCACATGGTTAGAACATACTGCTAACACTCTGCAGGACTTTTGACATATTCCCCTACTGGTACTCACCAGACTCTCCCACAGGGCACTCCAGCACAGGACCTGCCTACCTGAAGGGAAGTCACTCCAGTTTTTTAAACCTCCAGTGGATTGAAGAGACCCCTTTAAGTTGCATTTACCTACAGCAGGAGGGTCCCATTCTGTAATAACCATCACATTGCATAGCCCAGTGCTCCAGTACATCAGTTCCCATCTGTACTATCAACAGAAACCACGCTCTCAGAGCGGGTCAAGACTTTGCTGGATGTGGGTTGAAGTAAATAAATATGAGCAAAATGCTGCTGGAAGGAGCTTGAGCGTTGTGCAGCAACTAGTATTTAGGGAGAGCTTTATGAACATGACAAAACCCAGTTGCTATCTTTACTAAAAGAAGAATACAGCTCTATGGTCCTAAGAAGCTTCAGAACTAAGAATTAAAGAAAACCATTCTTAATAGTTAATGGAAAAAAGTCACTGAGAAGAGAAGCGGATGTTTTTAGAAAATTCCTCCAGATTCCTAACCAGATTTGTTGGAGCTGTTGAAAACAGTAATCTGGATTACTAAGTGTGGAGCACCATTAATGCTAAGTAAGCACAGAGCACTCTTCTCCTGACACTTAACTCTTAAATTAAGCACAGAAAAACATTTGAAATCAATAGACCGGCATCTAGAGTCAGTAACACAAAGCTGAGCCAGCCTCCCATATCTAGAAGTTACAGAATGGTTCGAGAAACTAATAAATAGGCCAAGTCATTTCTGTACTCTGAAGTCTGTATCAGATACAATTCATCCATAAAATGAAAATTTTATTCAATATGTTTAATGTTCATACACTGCTATTATAAATTGACTGTTTAATGCCCAGTTAGACTGGCAATATTAAGATAAGTTTATTTTAAGCTTTATGGATTTTCAAAACACGTACAAATAAAATACTTATTACAAATTTCCATTTGCTGAAGTTTCTTGAGGAATATACATCACGCATGATCCCAGCACACAGAGCAATGACTTTTACAGAGCGGTACATACAGCAATAAATGCCAGTGAAACAGCCAGTCTTTCCAGACACATTACAATGAAAACAGTTTCCTTTCCCTCTGCCACATTCAACATTTGGATTTTTTTTTTATTTTTTAAATAGCCAGGTCTGAAGTTAAAAAGGCGTAAGTAAACTGACTGTGGAGTCAGCAGGCACTCAGGAGCCCTGAAAGGGAGAGCAAGCAATATTTTTCAAGTTCACTAGTCCAGGGGTAAAAATCCCTGAGACAAAGAAAAACAACAAACCCGTTTTCTTTGATGGAAAGATGTTTGTCAAGGGTCATTGCCAACAGACAGGTGTAAAGATAAACTATAAGAGCGAAAAGCAACAGTAAGACAGAGGAAGGAAATGGACCTGTAATGCAGGGTAATTAGGAATGCCTTTGTCCCAGCCTGGGACTTCACACCAGGGCTGCCTACTCCAAGGGAAGTGTTCAGCAGGAATCTATGCAGAGATATAAAGCACAAGATATGTACACAGTAACCTTGTCATTAGGATGGGAAACGCTTTCATAGTGTGTCAAGAACTGTAATCCCACTTAATTATAAACAGTAGACAACTGACCTTGGGTTAAACTATAAACAAGAATAAACAAAATATTGCACCCCAATTTCAATGTCACCAACAAGACATCTATTACTTGAAGCCAGTAGATGGAGAAACAGACCCATATATACTTTCTGTTGCTTGATGCCAGCGCAGAATTGCCTGGTTACAAGTGCTTCACAGACCAGGTCACTGAATTCTCTGGGACCTGGAAACTGCTCTCAGAAGCAGCGTGCCTCTGACCCTCCTCCTTGAGTCCCTGCTGCACATCAAACCAGCCCTACTGCTTCCACTTTTAATGAGTCACACCCCAGCAGGGTCCCGTTCCTTGCTACGTGCTGTGACAAGGGTCCCTGACTACATCCTTCTCCTTAAGCCTATTGTGCATACAGAAGCCGACCACCAAATTATGGTTCTGTGCTGTTTTTCAATGCTATTTAACACGCAGGCAGGTCAAGATCAAACATGAGCTCACCCACGCTGTTCACTAAGGGCTGGTCTGAGCCTTCAGAACAGTGGAAGAAAGTTACATTACTTCCAGGTTTTTGAAACACCCAAAGCACAAAGAAGCCCGTTACACCTGACAGATAGCAAGCACCACAATAAGGAATGCTTGGAGCAAAGTGTGGCATACGTGGTGAAAGCCAGTCAAAGCAGAATTCAGCCTAAAGATCTAATCCTAAAGGTCAATATAGGTTTCACGACCGGTATACTTAGCCTATGATCAGCTACAGGTTTAGAGCTATTGGCAACTAAACAAGAGTTTCAAGAACAACCTTTACATTCTGACCTAAAGATGCATAAATTACCACCACGGAGGGATGATCTAGTTTGAATTCAGATTATCTCTAACTAGAAAGCAACCATCTCACTTCTGCGAGGCCCCCACGCTCACACCACTTACTCAAGAGCAGGGCAGGACTCTAACAAACAGATGTTGATAGCACGTGCCCCGTGCTATTTTAACAGCAAATTTCTCTATATTATTTACGTCACTTCCCTAGGAGGACAGCAGTTAAGCCAAGCTACCCCAGCCCCACTTGTTTCGTGCGCAGTTTACAGAAGGGGAGCAGCAAGTTCTCAGAGATCCGCTGATGCGTTACGTTACCAAAAGGCCTCAGGAACACAGGAGCTCCAGAGGAAGAACACATCACCCTTCCCAGCAAGGCTTATCCTGAGGAAGAAACACAATCAAACCTCCACAGCTTGTGATAACTTTCCCTCTGGAACACTTTTTGAGGGCATTTGTTCCGCACAGGGATGTGTGGTTTTGTGGAAGGGCTGCTGTTCCAATTCCCTAAGAGGACTCTCCAGACTGCAGGCTTTTGCCCTAGATTTAGGTCACTAGTAATTGGACATGTGTGGAAAATGCACAGGCTCAGTTCAGCGTTGCTTAATTAATTTCTTAGTCTGTTGATTTGGCAGTCGGCCTACAAAAACAGAACAGTTGGATACTTAAACTCGTATTGAAGAAAACATTATGACAATAGCAAGCCTCCCAAAAATGAGCCCAACTCTTTTGGTGCTGGTGAAATAAATATTTTTAACTGCCTGGAGTACAAAGTGAAATCAGTTTTTGTTGCTCAGGTGAGACTACCAGCTCAATTAATTAAAAGGAATTATTTCTCTTTTATAGCATTCAGATTGGAAAAAAGATCAGTCACGTAGAAACCCAAAGACTTTACCAAGACCTTCTCAAGACAAAGCACGGAATTGAGAGGTGATGGAGCAGAATCAACTATAGCGAATTTCTATCCAGGACATTACATTCCCAAGCCACTGGTGAGTCCACCAATTACACGGCGTGAAAGAGCTCTGGGCATTATTTTGATCTGTACCAGGCACCTTTCATTGTTCACGGAGTGGCATGTTCATGACGAAGAGAAGCTCATCCACTGAAATAAGAATTAAAATTCTCTCTGCTCCCAGAAGGCTTCTGCCAGTTTAGTCAACTTGCTTGATGTTTTTTAAGCCCTTCTTGAAGGGCACAGGACAGCCCCACTGTGCCGAGTCCTGGCCACCCTGCCAAGCTTGCTGCTGGAGCTCACTTCACTACCATCTATTTACTTCACTGCAGGTCCCCCGTGCTTTAGGGTAGTCTTGGCTTAAGCCTCAACAGCAAACGAGAAGAGACAGCTGCCTCTCTGCAGGAACTTCTCTTGCTGGTGACCCTGGGAGCTGAGCTGGCAGAGCTATCTGGACTCTATAAGGCGGCTGCTCGACAAAACAGCCTTACAAAACTCTATTCACGTATTAACTGGAGTGAAATATTTACTTCAGATCAGGAAGTATTGTATCTTTTGATGAAGAAATAAGTTCTGTGTCTGAGCAGACAGTTTTATTGCACTTTAAAGCTGATCTAACACACCTACCTTGGTTTAAAATAAAAAGACATCCTGGTTCCTTATGCTAAGGAGTGAACTCTGGCAATAGGAAGGGCCTGAAGACTGAAATAAACTCACTTGACCAGTACTGAAAGGGAACAGTTCTTCTCTTCAAAAGCCTTGTACGCAGGGGCACTCAGTTGTTGAAGTAAAAACAACATACAACAGTATTTGCAAAAAAGCTTAATATAATCCTTTGGGTCTATAAACTCTAAACAATAAATATAAAATATGTACATGGCACACCAGAGCAGCTAAAAATTAAACAAGTGCAAATTGATAACACTTACCTATACCGTCAGCAATAAATTTGTTTCACTACTGTGATACAATACAAGCTTAATATATAGGATGTTTTTCCAAAGGAAAACCATAGAACCAAGTTGATATAGAAGGTGAGGGAGAAGGGGAGACAATACATAACAAGGCACAAAACCCTCTCTTGCTGCAACCCTGTAAGGCAAATGTGAAACTACCAAAATCTGCGGTGAAGAAATTCTAAACGTTTTTAAGTGACTGGATAATGTATTTTAAAGATGACACTATGCTCATATCTTTGGGAATAAAGATACTTAGGAATCTTTATTTACACTTACAGTCTTTTAAAAACAAATTAGTGAAACAGGTGAATTAGTACTCAAATACAGGAGTCGCAGTTGATTTCTCCCAGACAGCTTCACAAGTGCAACCCAATCACGACCTACCCTGGCCTTGTTAAGAGAGTCCTGGATCCGATGTGGTGCAGAGGGAAATGCTGCCAATTATGTCAAATTGCATGTGGCACACCAGTAATTTTAACAAAACAGACTTCAGGGATTAGGGTGAGAATAAACTCATTTTCACTTGGAACCAAAAGTGATTTAAATCCAGAGATAAAAGGTTAGTAGCATTAATCTAACATCATACCTAGGGAATTTAATACCCCAAAGTTACAATCTATACCTCCATTTAAGAGCTGGGCACCAGCGTTTTTCTTCCTTATTCTGATACCTGCTCAGAAAACTCATCATGATAAACTTCAGCAAAAACCTCCTATCTTACTAGAAAGTTACAGATACATAATTAAGCTTACAAACTCTAAATGTCCCCCATTTTTTTTATGTCCCATGATCTCTACCACATTCCACTAGAAGTATTTTTTGTCTTCGCTCCAATTACGCGAGTCATTTCAGTACATTCTGGAGACTCCTAAAATATGCACAGGTTGGACAAGTTTTTACAAGAGTGTTTCACCAATAACTAAAATTTTCTTCTAATGAAAGATTCAGGAGGCACTCAGTTTCCTGTGAGCTTCAGACACATGAATGAATAACTCTTTTTCACATGGGGAAGAACGTCAGTAGACCACACTTGCAAGACTTCTGCTGCCATTCTTGCAACTTGAACAACTGCACAGCACATAGGAAACAACCTGAATGAACCTGACTATTCAGTTATTGGCTACGTTTTGTTCTCTTACATGATGTGTTTTACTCTTTTTACTCTACAATTAAATATCTTGCCACAAATCAAAACATTTAAGGTCAGACAACCTGTAGCTTCAATGATGCTCAATATACTGAGCTGCCAGAGAGGAAAAAATCAGGCCAACCTATTACATTCTAAACAAAGGAAATGGAAGAAAGAACAGGTCTTCAGTGATAAGTTAACATTCATATAGCTATTTGCTGAAAGGCTGTGCCAGCTTAGGCATGCTTCATTCCTTATATTCAGTCCTGTTTTAAGGAAATAAGAATTTGAGCAAATACAATGTAAACAGAGCCAGGTAGACTGCAGTAGTAAAGGAAAACAATATCATTGATCTGGCAGGTTTAAGGCCAACTATTATGACTTGAAATATATCGTACTTTTTCATGGCACTTAATACACTGAAAGTTAGTACTGGGTGACATTAAATAAGGGTATACATATTCATATAATACGCGATATATACATGTAGCTTCAGTTCCTAAAATAGAAAGTTCAAGTTTTCTTGCCCAAATAAAACCAATTTGTGAAAGACCACCTGTGTTTTCCTATACTGAATAAAGTAATATACAATTTTAATCAAATTAGTGCAAACTGATTTAAGTCCAAAGACATACCATTCCTTGATTTTAGTCACTACTTACCAAATGCCCCTATTCCTTTCAAAAGACAGCTACACTTTCCTTCTCCTCTTAAAAGAACAGCAAACACTTGACAACTAGCATGCTGTTCTAATCTAGGTTAATGAAATTTGCTGATAAACGGATCATGTTTTGGTCATGCAGCACAGACCCATCCTCAAAATAATCCGTCTCAATTCAACCAGGCTAGAAGAGGACCGCAGTGCCGCATTTTAATTAGCAGGTCATCCTGGCCACTCCATACTCCAAGCTGACGACAGCAGGCTCGGATTTGGAGAACTCTTCCACGAACTCACTGTAGCGATTGTCTGCTGCGTTGCTGCCCTCTATAGTTCTTACAGCATCGCTCACGGGGAGCAGCGGCGGCTCCTTCTTGAAGCACGGAGGGGTTTTCAGTGCCGTGGGTGCAGGATGAGCAGGCTGCTGGTGGTCCTTCACAGGGACTGCGGCTGACTGCCCACTTCTCCGCTTTATTTTCTGAAACGTAAGAAATAGTTACTAACAGTGAGCATCACGGCTTCACTGATAACATTCTGCTTTGAAAAAGTGAAGTCACTTCTTTTAGCTGGCTAACTCAGCATCTGCAGAACCCTCTATTATATATCTTAAATTAGATATGTAACAGTATTATTAAATTTAGGCCACTGGACAAGACAGTATTTTTTTCCCCACACAGTTGACAGCAGATGCTATAAGCACTGTATGCTTAAAGTTTGCACCTGGGGAGAAGGCAGAAAGGTTGCCTGTTAACATCCGTAGAGAAGGAGACTCTACAACTACTTGAAAGGACACTGTAGAGAGGTTGGTGCTGGTCTCTTCTCACAGGTAATTAACAATAGAACGAGAGGGAACGGCTTCAAGCTCCAACAGGGTAGGTTTAGATTGAACATTAGGAAAGAATTTTTCACTGAAAGAGTGGTTGGGCATTGGAACAGGCTGCCCAGGGAGGTGGTGGAGTCACCGTCCCTGGCTGTGTTTAAGGGACGTTTAGATGTGGTACTGAGGGATATGGTGTAGGGGAGGACTATGTAGAGTTGGGTAGATGGTTGGACTCGATGATCCCAAGGGTCTCTTCCAACCTCAATGATTCTATGATTCTTCGGAGCCTACCCTCTGGTTGCTATCAAGATGGGAATTCCATCTGACGTACAGGCAAAGGAAAACAGGCCTTGGAACTATTAGCAAGCAGTGAGCTCGCAGCAGACCACAGGTCTCTTAAAGACAAAAAGTAATTTTGTACCTAAGCCCTGTCCTTCCTGAAAGCTTTCTAAAAGACTTCTGAAAAATGCTAATACAGTTTGTTCAAATGCAGGAATACACTAAAAGATGTCAACTAGAAAGCAGGACTGGAGGAAAGGACCCATCCTAGAAGCACCAAGCAAGAAAAAAAGATTTGGATTTGGTCTGCTTTTTTTTTTTTAATACAAACAAATCTCACCCAGTAACTGAGAGCTTGAACTAGTTAACTAAACTGATATTTTTTGTCGATGTGTATATGCTCTGTTAAAACCTTGACAGAGCCCAGAAGACTTTAGTGTATCCTGACAGCAACTTTTTGAAGATGGAAACAGCAGTATGAAAGTTTACATCAAGATTTCCAACTCCATCTCTTCATCACTCAACTTCATCTTCTCACTTAACACCTTGGAACAACATTCTAATAAAGTGAACACTCAGTTTTAAATTTTCATCTTGCTTATTCTTCCACTTGCTTCATCGTCAGTTTTCATCTTGTTCCTTCAGTTGTACAAGAACTTTTAAATATACAATGAAGATTTGAAACAGTTTAAGATTCAGTGACACAAATTCATTATGGTAGGATCAGTTTAGTAAAATCTTTCCTCTTGGAAAAGCTGAGCTTCCCTCTCCCATACCCCAAAATAACATACAGGAGTTAAGTATTACTATTTCTAGCCACAAAAAAAAAATAAATTGGAAATTAGAGAATTTTTGCATTTTAAAAGGTATTGTTCTGAAGTTTCAGCACTAAGTGATAACAGTGAAATATCAATTCACTATTACTCAATAAGCCATACCAGAAGAGAGATACACTGCTCAGTCTTTTCTAGTTGTTTTCTGTAGCAGTCTATTAGAAGTAATTTACAGAAAACCAATTTCTGCATTTACCCATCTTCAAATGAGCAGTACAACGTATATGCCCCATAATTATGGTGACTTACAATAGCATGCACCTGCATACAAAGTTAAAAGAAGGACAATACTTACTACTTCCATTTTAGTAGCTATAATGGAAACAAAACACTTTCAGTCTCCTTGGTTTAGCAAAACAACTGCAGCTACAATGGGTACCTTGTCATCTAAGCTAAGTTTGACATAACTGTAACCTATATTAAGTCATCTTCAGTAACGCTCTGGTAGTAGCAGCACTTTTACATAATACAGCTCATCAGTAAGGCACAATAAATTGTGTTTAAGAGCAGAACATTGGCTGCATAGTCTGGCACTCAGCCTAGAGGCATACAGTGAAAGTCAACGCCAACATTACATGGAACAAATGCTAGTAGTCACAGTAGTGACATTCATATGAAAGCCAGCAGCATTATAGACTATAAATGTGAATTTGAAGAACAAGTCGCAAGTGAGTATACTTATTCTGTAATACTTACAGCTTCCAGTTCTTTAATTTCTTCCTCCAGTTGTTTATTTTGTTCGCTCATGGTCATTATGAGATTGAAGACAGACTGCCGGGGATGCATGCTTCGATCAAACTGATGGTACATATTTCTCCAAAACCTGCATGTAGCAGACAGTTTTAACTATGCAGGATAGAGAATTGAAGAAGAGATACTTTACATAATTCAAACTTACTTAAAATTGAACGATACTGTATTAGGCTCCAAAAGAGTTAGTCCTGGAAAAAAATCTGGATTATACAGAGGATTCTGGTATTTCTTCTTTTCCTCCAGAAGGAATGGCCACAAGGAATATGTCTTCTCTTTTAACCTTAAAGCAAGAAGAGATCAGTCAAGATACTAATTGCAAACAAAACCCAGAAGCTGTTCAACTCAACATAATAAATCCATCTTAACTTTTTAAAATAAGCTAATTTAAGATTTGTAACTATCTCTAGTAAGTGCTTAAAGTAAACCTTCCTGGCATATACTAATCTTGCAACTATCAATTTTAGAAATACTAGTGTTAATGCTGTGCAAGTTTTGCCTAGTGGCAATAAATGCTTTTAAAGTACAGTTTGAGACAAAAGATGAACTGACAAAAACTTTACAGAAGTTTTCCAACTGAAAGAATTAAGAGGCATTCTATTAATACTTTTAACTGACAATAATTAGCCTTGAACAGGGAAAAATTGTAAGGTCACTTAAAAACAGACTGGGGGAGGGAAAGCTTCTACTTCCAAAAACTTAAACTTACGCATTTTTAGGGAGTAGGGGGAGAAGGGGTAGAGGGAGAAAGAAGCCTTAACTTCCCCTATGAAAAATGATCATGGGATTTTATCCCAGAATTCCAGAGACTGTCATCAGTGTGCAAAAGCAAGAGAAGCATTGCTGTTCCCTGATGCAGTTCAACATCAACTCCCAGTCCTGCCTCTATTTCTATTAGCAGCCTAAAATGGAGAAGATTCACAGGAGATCTTAGTCTACCAGAATAAACAAGAGACATTACAATATATCTGCTTACTTGAGTTCTTCTCGCTCTTTTTGGCAGTTTCCAAGGAAGTTACCAAACTGGCAGGAATGGACATGTTCATGGATCTGAAGGAGGAAAGCTTCATTGTATTCAAAGGCTTGTGGAAACTGCTCAGTCAGATTCCACACACATTCTAAGAACTGGGTGAACACTGGCGAGATCTCTTTTGGATCACCATCCAACTGACCACATCTGAAAAAGATTCCATGAAGAGATTGAAATTGGTTTAAGTTACAAATCAAAAAAGTCTTAGTTGCACTTGCTTTTAAACCACAGCACATTAATTTGACAGTAGCTTTGGTTTGGAGATTAAGCACCTAGCTTTGAGAACTGGGGCAATTTCTGAATAGAAATAAGTCTATATTTATCTCATTTTTCTGACTTGTAAGTATTCTCATCTGTATTCAGCACAGAAGAGAAACATAAGACAGTTCAATTCCTTTGTGTCTATTACTTCCATAGTCAACATTTGGAGTATACCTGCTAAAAGCAGTAAATAGCAGCAAAGCTATTATCATAGCTGATAGGCAGATCAAGGGAGAAACAGAACTCTTAACATACAGGACTTCTAAAGGTAGGCGTGACTTCATAATTAGAAACAAACAATTTCAAAACTAAGTGGTTTATATTGCTGAAATAGCTGGGACATAGCTTTATATAGGTTTTGCACAGTCTGTGCAAAAATGCAGATCTAGCTGCAGTTATCAACATCTGATAACAAGGCACCACTCACTAGAAATCTATAATATTCCAATACCTACTGGATAACCGATTTATAAACAGCAATATAAGTAGTACAGCCTACTGAAAATAGCTCACTCATTACAAAATTTTTAGCAACACTGCAGTAGTTCTATTCACTGCATACATTTTACCAGACTGGGAGAGTGAACTACCTGTCAGAGAACTTGTGCCCAAAAGAGATCCAGTCTTTCTCTATCAAGACCTAAGGGTAAAAGCAAACAAAGTCTCATGTAAAATGTTACTCAGTCTTACATCTGTAGTATTAACCCCACAGGTTATTGATAAAATTATTTTAAATCATACTTTGAGTCAAACTACAGAAGGAGTGTCTCTTTGTCACTTTATAGTTCCTTTATTTTCTTCGTAGTCTTTTACAAGAGTCTCTCAAAGTCTAGCAGTTTAGGTAACTGTTGTTAAGCCAGGGTTGCTTTAAGCATACCAATATTGTATGACTTCACAAACAGATTATCAACCAACTTGCAAAAAAAAAAAAATGCAGAGTACAGGAAAAATTTTACTACTGCACTCCTGCTATTATAGTTTACATAAAGCCACACAATATAATCTTTGTAACATCTTATAGCAACAAGTTTGTTTATATGGACACTGGCTTTTATTATCACTTCAGTCACTGTATCAAGCACCAAAAGGTGCCCATTGCAGAAGTTTTCCCAGAAATCTAATTGACAGTGAGGAAAGTGCAAACAAAAAGATGAAATTACTTCCCTACAGATTACACACATTATCACTATTCCCAAGAAATTAATCCTCTTCTAATTCCTCCTCAAATTCACTCTTCTGGCTTGTAATATTTGTGGCAGTTCGTTCCAACCAGTACAAGGAACTAGTTTTATAGTCTATTTTTCAGGAGTTCCCATAGCACCATGACCACTGCAGAACACTGTTGATTTTCCTACTCTAAAATTTGGAATAATCATACCAAAATCATTCTTCCTCTCTACAGAAAGATGCGGAAATTTAGATTAAATATTTTCAGGCCTCCGTGACTGGGGAAGCTGTCACTTTTAGATTTTAATAACGTTGATTTTGGGACAAGTGATAAAAAGTACAGAGCTGCTATAATTTTGTACAACTCTCTCACGTAAGTACTTTGGAATCCTTATATTTCCATAGGCAATAGGCTTTTCTGGATGCAAAAGGCAATCATTGCAACATTTCTGCAGGGTGCAATCCACTATTTGTATTTCAGTTTCTTAGATTTTAAATAAATACTTCTTCCCAGTAGCAAAGTATTTCTAGAAGCAAGATGTATCAGCATACTGCAAATCTTATATTTACAACTACAAAAAGCAAGCATCGGTATGTTTACACTGCTCACTTTCATACTCTTTTTACATCCTTTGTTTACCATGGAACAACCCAACAATGCAACAGCTGGCTCACCATGAATCCTTTGATTGTTCTGTAGTAAGAATCTAGCAAGAGAGCTCCAAGAGAACAAACTTGGGAAGTCCTATCCCAGCCATCTGAGCAGTGCACTAATACGCTCGCGCTCTCAACCGCTATTGCCTGCAAAACACAGTTGTTTCATAGTGAATATTCTGTTCTAGACAGAAGTCAAAATTTAGCAGATAAATACAAAAGCTACATTTATCCCAAACTCACAGCATAGACCATTTTATTTAACAAAGTCAAAAAAATGTTCATTATAAGGAAACATATTGATGCTATCAGAAAGCTAGGAAGAAGAAATTCCACTACCACCTTTGCACAAGGTAACAAGAACATCTACAGTAGTTTCCTGTTCTCTTTCTACCCTTTATAAACTACACTTATAACCCCCCTTGCAATGCATACTAAGAAAGTAAACCACACATTACAGACTAAAAAGGTTAAAAAATAAACATAAAACAAACACTGAAGATCCCCTCTTGTTCATCATTACACTACACAAAAGTTAAGGACTAGGAAATTTACATTCAGCTAAGAATTAAATCCTGTTAGTCCAAATATTTTTGAGAGTTGTCTTCAGGAGAATCATCCACTTTTAATTACAGTTAATTCGTTGTTATTCTACCTAGCAAAAACAAAGATCCAGCTCTTTTCTTCACCCAGCTGCCCCCCAGGTCAATTCTTTGGCTTCCTAAGTGTCTGGAAAAGGCAACTGTTCCTCTGAATTCTTCATGAAGAGTCACATTCCCTTGCCAGATGAAGTCAGCATAGTCAATTTGGTTTCTCTGCAATTAGTACCCCAGGAGTTCTGTTTTTCAAGGTACAGTAAATAATAGTTTGCTCCATCCACCTCAAATCTGGTTACACCTTTCATAAATAACTAAAAGAACCGGAGGTTCTTTTTCTTCTTACAAAGAGAGTGTAAGAATCCCTTCATCTCCCAATAAAGTGACCACACAGCATTCAAAAAAATCCCAAAACATTAGCCTGCATATTTAGTATCTCTAGTCATAATGAAACATGTAATACTTAAGAAATTGTATCCGATGTATTGGTGTATACTAAGCATCTACTTCCAAAAAGGTCACTTGCAGAATTTTACACATTGATTAACATAGCAAGCCAACTTGGCATGAAACAAAGCAGCAGCATACAAGTTACCTTGACCAGGAAGACAGCAGCATCCAGCACGGCTTTGATATGACGCAACCATCCAGAGTTCTCCAGACCAGACAGAAAGTCATTGACAGACAAACCTTTCGTGCCACTGACTGAAAGAGACCAAGAGTTAGAAAGCCTTAAGTAGTTGCAATTGAGAAAGAAGAATAATTGTATGTTGTTTCTAATGCCCTAAGCTGTAAGTTGATTAGAGATCTTTCAGAAAGCCACCACTGAAATGGTTAAGAAAGGGCCACTACGAAGTGTGCTTCATTGAAAACTCAATTCTGCAGAACTACAGTAGTCATGACTGATGAGAATGAGACCTTTATGTCTTTTTGAAAAAATAACATTCAAAGTAAGTACACTGGTTATCCCCAACAAAGAACCTTTCCAAGAAAGGTAATCCAAGTGCCAAAAGCTTAACAAAAATACTTAAAGATTACAAACTAGTAGTAGAAAGCAGCTGCATCCAGACAGTCTACACAGTCTGGAGTAGTCAGACTGCCACAGTTTTATCACCTTCTCCACTCTGCTTAGGAGAATAAAGTTAGTGCAGAACAAGGACACGGTGAACTGAAAACTGTAGAGACTGTCTACCTCCAGAACTGATATACTACAATTCTGACTCTACCAGTCTTCCCTGGCATACTTTGATCCTGTAACAATAATGCTGATTGAGAGGACAGGGAAAAACTAGAAGCTAAAGGAAAGCTGTCTTGCAGCATAACAGCAAGAAGTGCAGAAGCAGACTTGTAGTTTCTCACATGGATGCTTACCAATTTACAAGTGAGACAGATAACCTGGTTCTTGTACGATTTTGAGTAGCAACTCAACAGTTACATTACTGTCCAAACATGATCAACTTCTGAAAATAAAAGCTGGCTGATACGGCTTCAGCTACGTATGATTCCAACAGAGGATACCCAAGATTGCCATCTACAAAAATACCTGTCCCCACCACAGTGGAAGCCTACTTTCTACCCAGCTAGTGGGCCTCAAATGAAAATAAAGAGACTCTGTAGCTGAAAGGTATCAGTGGGGATATTCATCCAGCAGCTGCAAAAAAATATTTACATCCGAGTATGGAAGGAAGTGAGTCAGTAGGGAAAATAGAGAACAAAATCCACAAAGTCATTCTGTGATGCAGTTTCCCATTCAGTCAAGTCCCCTGATGTAATGAAGGCTATAAACTCTTAAACCATTGCCTCATAGAGCTTTCCTGTACCTGCACTACATGTCTCAGCTTTCAGACGTAGAAATCTGAAAGCTATACTCCCCATGGCTCCTCACAGAGTCATAAAGCCAGTTGCTGCTGAGTTCTGTAACAAAGACAGGCTTCCAAATAAGTATCACAGCACCTTTTCTAAAGCCTGAAGATCTTTGTCATCCAGAAAAAGAGCTAGGAAACCACAGCACAAAAAAGTACCAAAACAACAAAAAAACCCTGGATACAAGACCTAATTTTAAAGGTTAGTCTGTAAATACCAGTAAAAGTAGCAAAAGCTATGCTAGTTTTCCCTGGTCTTTGAAGCAGATTGCATTGTTCAGCAGGAGTGCCGTTTCTGCGAGATTTACCACATAGAAGAAAAAAAAAAAATCAGCTGGCAACTACTTGATCCTTTCAGCTCACACTGTCACTGGACCAGTGGTTCCAACAGTGCACAAACAAGTCCACCACTCCACAGCAAAGGAAAGAAACTCAAGATACCCAAATACCTGGAAAGTCAAGTGTCTGCAGGGAAGGGACTGGAGAGACAAGGCAATGTCTAGAGGCACTATTTATGGCTGCTCACCCTTACATTCTGTAGCTCATGGTTTAAAGCACAAACTTCCAGCTAGAAAATAAACAGGATTCAAGCCCTCAATTTGTTTTCACCCAGATAGAGCTGTCAAAGTCTGCTTTTGATCAGAATTTTAAGCTTGGTAGAAGTATTTCACTGCTGTGATTTCCCCCTTCTAAATGGATTTCTGTACTTTTATAAGACAAGGCAGAGATAGAAACACATATGTTGAGCCCACAGAATTACTTTCCACTTCTGTGAATTAAGACAGACATTTTTATACAACTTAGTGATGAAATAAAGAAATAGCATTGACACTATTTTGACACTTACATGCTGAAAAAATAATATTCTAGTCCTTTATGGTCGCTAAAAGGGTCAAAGATGATTTATGGTATCACTAAGACGTTTAGCTACTTCACAATAACTATAATTCCAGATAGTTTTACCTATACAGATCCCACCATAAATACATGCCCTGCATTGTATGTGAGCTCCAAAACTTCAGTATTTCTTGACTGTCCTTACACACCCTACTAGCAACGCCTCAGGTAGCACTTCACGAGGTGACTACAACCTGCAGACTGAAGCACAGCAGGCTGGGGACAGAGGTTGTTTTTAACAACTAAACAAAATCAAACAAATCCACCCCCCACACACACACACTCCACATAATCCACAAAAAACCCCTTAGTTAACACCCTTCCATCATCAAAATATATGCAGCAGGCCACAACAGCTATTATTGAGCCTTTTCCTTAAATATTTCCTGCAGAAATTCTGGTTTTTGACATAGGCAAAAACTCTTAGTTATCAATCTTTTTACTTATCAATCTTTTCTGACATGTAGTACTATGGTTTCAAATATATAAAAACTAGACCTTATATTTAATACCACAGCCACAAATTTAGTTTATGTGAAGATTCTTCAACTAGTGGTATATAGATGGGCAGTCTGCCCATCAGGGGAGCAGACTCATCATGTTCACATTAAAGAAAACTATTTCAGAAAAGTTTTGTTTCACTGCATGGAAGTTATTTAAAAACCAGCTGAATCCAAGACAAAGAAGAGACTGTAAATCCCCCTCGCATGCTCCATGGTGTAGTCTCATTACAAAAGGATGTTGGGAAGGGTTATGTTTTACATTCTGTTGCAAACAGAATTGTTAGAATCTGAAGGAAATCAGGAAGATAGACGAAGAACCTAGAAGCAGGATACACGCTGAAGAATGATTAAGTTGTTTGTTACAAATAAAACTGAGGACAGTGACAGTTACAATGGCTGTTGAAAGAATAGGGTCATGGGTATCACGTTCCTGATTTGAGAACATTTAGTTCAGCACATCCAGGGAAAGTAGGTACACAGAAGTTAAACAGCATTTTCCTCATTTTAAGCTATGAGCCATTATCATAGCATTTCCTCCCTGATCACCCACTGACGGCACATTTCTAACAGGGGTCTGAAGAGTAAAATATTGCATACCTCCCTAAATTTTAAGGGTCCTTCCCACCCCTTAAGATGCTTTTACTCCTAGACTGGCATTCCACAAAAATCTAGCGGATTATGTGAACAGAAGTTGAACAACTGCATTCATTTACCCCAAAACCTGATCTAGAGAACAACTATAGACATTAAACTCGATTGAAATAAAATCATGCATAAATAAGCCAATCCTCCACACAAGGAAAATCTGAAACATATTCCATCCTTAATGAAAGCTACAGAATGGTATTTGGTACGTATTGGTGGGATGCTAAGTCAAATGAAAGGAATTCAAAGTCTGATGCACACACTTCTGCATCAGGCATTATTACACAGGAGCAAGCCTCTTAAAAGAAAATAAATCAAGCTTTATTAGCTAGTTTTCTGGAACTGAAGATATTAGCAAAAGAGAGAGATTATGCCAGACATAAAAACTGAAGTTCAGGCTCACGCTGACCACCTTCCCCTTCAATAAAGTACATGCAAGAATAACTATAAAAATACATATTATCCAAGCTCAGCAGAATTCTATACAGAGTGCCTGAAGAATTGGTTAGCAGCAGATAGAGGCTCAATGAGACTGAAGTAAACCTACACCACTAGACTGTAGGATTTCTTGACCAATGTAACCAAAATATCTTCATCAAAATAGGCTTCCATACAAGTATGATCCTTCTCTCCATGACTGGAAATGTTTGCATAATTCTAGAAGACAAGCACTTAATAAACGTATTGTTTGTCAGGTGTGGAAGCCTGACTTCTGCCACTGTACTCTAGTGTCAGTATTAATTATCCACGAAGTGTCTTAGATTTGTTTTCAGCCATTTATCTAAAAAATATACTTAGATTCTGGAGCGTGTCCAGAGAAAAGCAAAGCTGGCAAGGGGTCTAGAGCACAAGTCCTGCAAGGAGAGGCTGAGGGAGCTGGGGCTGATTAGCCTGCAGGAGGCCAAGGGGAGACCTCATCGCTCTCTACAACTACATGAAAGGAGGCTGTTGCAAGGTGGGGGGCAATCTCTTCTCCCACGTAAGAAGTGATAGGACAAGAGGAAATCGCCTCAAGTCGCACCAGGGGTGGATTAGGATGGATATTAGGAAAAATTTCTTCACAGGAAGCGTTATCAAACATTGGAACAAGGTGCTCAGGAAAGTCATTTAAATACCTCCAGGAATGGCGATTCAAAGACAAGTAGACTTGGTGCTCAGGCACATGGTTTAGTGGTGGTTTTGACAGCGTTAGTTTAATGGCTGGACTCAACCATCTCAAAGGTCCCTTCCAACCTAGACAATCCTATGATTGCCACCACCAGGTGGCAGGCAGTGGCACAGTGAAGTAATTAACTTCTCCCCTACCCCACTCTCCACAAACACTCTAAGATGCCCCTACAGGCACAGAAGTGGCTCACCAGCCCAAAGAGCTCAAGTTTTGTACAGACAATAAGCTTATTGTGAGATCTGTGGAACTAAGCGCTCCTTGAAGAATCCATATTCTAGTTATGAAAATGTATGTACATACACTACTTTGTGCATTTATTACACATTTACGTACACATATATGTATACTTGGAAAACACAGAAGTGTTGCCAAAAGCCACTGACATACTAATCAAGTTCACCCAAGACATATGTGCCACTCAATTTTCTTCAAAATAGCTCCATTCATTGGGTTTACAGTTTAAAGGTAAAAGTTTAAGGTAATTTACCACAGAGCACAAAAAACTGGTACTAAGCATAGAGCCGGGATAAAAATGTAGAAATATCAATACAGTTAGTGTAAGCTATTTTTGAAGACTTCAGAAAAATATTTATCTTATTTTCATATACACTATTATCGTACAGTTAGAACATACCTTCCAGAAGTTTTTGCAAGCTGGATCTCATTACGTGAATATTTTCAATGCCAACAAACTGGAACCTAATGTTAGAGTAATTGTCTTCATTCTCATAGCCCTTCCCAGCAGCTCTGTTCGCCATTGCATTAAGCTTAAAAGAGGAAAATAAAAATACTGAAAAACAGTATTTCAAATAAAAATCTCACATTAAGAAATGAAAGGTGAGTTTCAATGGAATACCTTGAGGAAAAACACCACCACACAAGAGCACATACTATAAACAGATTCTAATGAATTAAGAGTTTGTGGCAAATCAACTTGAAAGCATTCAAGTGTAAGAAAGGCACAGTACATAAAAACAACACGCAGTCTATACTTAGAGCTGACATATCTGAATAATGCATTTAATAAATTTCCTGTTTTCTCCTCCATATTACCACCAACAAACCTTTACTTATTTCCAAACATTCCTTAGCAAAGACACTACAAGACAAGTAACCTAAAAAGGAAAGAGTAAGACCCAGACTTAACTATACATGCACTTTCCAGACATCCTAAAAATGTCAGTTTTGGGGGTAAGTTAATAAATTGCTGCAGCTATAAAAAATACAGCTATAAAAAACCCACAGCTGGCTCAGTTTCACTCTGTCAGACCGACCTACTGCTGAACTCTGCTCAAAATAAGCACAGATCCTGCAGTGTAAGATTTTCACTTTACATCCTTGTTTTCGAGCTCCTGTGTTCAGACATTTGAGTGAAATGAATACCAAATTAAATGCACAGACCAACACAGGTCAAAACCCAACGTAATTCAATTTAATTAGATAGTGATGAAGTATGACCTTAGAATGCTAAATTTCCCCCACTTCTTCCTGGGTATAGCAGCAATAGCAGTTTTCACAGAACATTTACACAGAATACAGTAGTCTCTCCTATTCTAAGGGAAACCCCAACACAGCTCACCATGAATTTAACTTCAAACAGTTACAATAGCTTGGATAGGACTCAACTATTCATGTCTTAACTATGTTTTAAGTATAATTTTAAAGGCACTTCCCCAAATGTTTACTAGCACATTCAGTGAACTCTAGTTGAGTCCTGAGAGGGGTGCAACTCCTTTACAAAAGCCATTCAGTGAACTCTAGTTGAGTCCTGAGAGGGGTGCAACTCCTTTACAAAGTACTTAAGTACTTAAACACCCGAATAGAGAGGCCTAACCTTACCATTAAGAATATTTTTGACCACAATGGAATCATATTTAACTCCAAACATTTCAGAATTACACTGTATCCCTGCACTCTAATGTTCAGGAGGAGAGGTTAGTCTGTAGAACCTGAAGTACATACCTTCGGCCTGGTGTCCATGACATACATGTAGCGGTTTGAAGGATTCGCTTTACTGATGGCTTGCAACATGTGTTCATCTTCCAGGCACCTGGCACTGAAACCTGAGAGAGGCTGACTGCATCTGCATATTGCAGCCTACCATAAGAAACAAAGAATAAATTAGCATCAGTTTAATATCTGCAATTGAAATGCTTTGATTAATTCTAGAAAGACGTTGAAACAAATTGTTTTATTTCGCAGGTAACAGTACTAAACATAATGGGCTTTCTCCAAGTTTAAAAGTTCCAAGAAAGCATAGGGTGGAAAAAAACAAAACAAAACACTTTAGGAAAGCAAGTTACTCTCTTAGTATGAAGTGAGTTATGCTTGGTTTTACTACTGCAACTATGATATGTTTTTGTCTAACATAATTTTCATGGTGTCATTTTCAATGACATATTGTATTTCAGATGGTATCAGGTGCATCTTCCAAGTAGTAGTTATCTTCAAATCCATCTAGTAGCTTAATACCCATCCTTCGTAAATTCTTTAACTCAGGAAGATGACAATCCTTCTCTCCCTTCAAAGATACTCCCTAGCCAAGGCAGGCAGATGTGGCTTCACACCACTATCAAACCCTGCAAAATCTTATTCTCACCCTGTAGGTTTTTTCCCTTACAAATTCCTCCTTAAAGAACCAGTTCTGCTCTTTTGGTGTTTTGTTTTGGGTTTTTTTTAAACCCCCATTTTGACCTATTAGATTTTATTCTTGATATATCAAGGAAGACCAATCACTTGACAAAAAGCTATCTTCAGTCACCTTGAGGTCAGTTTCTCCTTCCCTACCCTGAACTACTGCCAAGTGTTGAGAAATAGCTTTCAGGACATTTGCATCAAGAGAAGACACACTATACCTCTTTATTTTTATGATAATACGACAGCACTGGAAATCTTCCTTTGCTTCTGAACTTGGAGCTACCAACAATTATAGGCTTGCTTGCAGTTCTGGGAACATAGAGTTCTCTAGGATAGGTTTCACAAATCTGAAAGACACAGATACACAAAATAGAATTTTATATACAAAGCAAAAAAAGCCTGTACTAGTTTTATTGCATCCGATTTGAGTTAAGTTAGGTGAAATAAGAGAAAGGATAAATGCTAACATGCTTCTCTATATATACATAAATAGGTCAGAAGAGGAGACGAACATGGACAAAAAAGTACCAATTGGTATCCAAGTTATACAGCCAAGCACTGTTGGAAAGCACTGCTATACCAGCATTCACCCTCTTAAGAATGCAACTCTTCAGTAAGAGATGCTAAAAATGTGTTTCAAATAAAATGCTGAAATGATTTCCCTCATTTTTTTGTATTTGCAGACCACAAAGTAAGACAAAATCTAATCTGGGAATCACCTGCACCACCACAGCCATCGTCTTCCACCACCAACATTGCAAATGCTAAAGCAGAATCCTTTTCAGTTAAGAGAGATAACAAAGCTGCAGAGCACCAGAATTGCTGGGGCTGGCCTTCAAACAGGTTAAATATACTCTAGAAACAATCCCTAAGAACACATGCATCCATGCACACATACTCTCTCCATAAGGCCTTGGAAAAAGCTTCAGTTAAAAAGTTGCGAGACTGTAGACTATTAAGGAGTTAACTCTCACCTGCAAGTTTTTGCTTATGCTGCAAGCTAAGTGATTTCACAGTATTAGACTGTCTTCTATAAAACTAGAGGCAGAGGATAAGGCAGAAACAGACACAGAGCAAAACATTACAACACGTACCTTATAATCACGATTTGCATCGGAGAGCTGCCAGTTAGTATTTGGCACTCCCATTCTCTTATATTCTTCTGCTAGATCAATAAGCTGCCAACCTTTGACTTGCTCAGATTCATTTTGTTTTGGATTGTAGGAGAAGGCATACAGTTCTTCATATTTTGCTAAAAGGTAAAGAATAACACTATATAACAAGTTGTCCCCCAAAATGCCCAAGTGGAGAAAGGTAGCACAGTTGACAAATCCTGAAATGGCCCAAGTTGGAGAAAAAGCTTCAGGCTTCAAGATTCTCAGAAGCAAGACTAAATAGATATTTATTGAAATATTTATTCTGCAACTATCATACTGTTACAGGTATTTAATTTAAAGGTAAGTTCTGAAGTGTGCTTGACCTATTTCAGCCATGATATTTCTAAAGCCATAAGGGCAAAAGTCACAAAATTAGGACTGACAAAATTAAGCAAGGCAAAAAGCAAAATTACTAGAATACTTCACAAAACCTAAGAGAACAAATAATTTTTGGAGGTAAGAACAGAAGTTTACATCTATTGACCTTTAAAAGCAGTAAGTTTTAAACTTTCCTTTAAAGCAAAAAAGCTTTCAAAATATTTTATGTTTTTCCTAATATACTATTTGCATATCACAGATGATGACATTTTACATTACTCAAAACACAAAGCAGAAAATGCAAAAGACCATACTAGGTGACAGAACTCTCTTGTACAGCTGAATTGGTAGTGCTATTTTTAGCATCAAAACTCCAGCTTTATTTTTGAAACTGCACAAAATCAGTAACAAGTTAGTATTTGCTTAGTAGCATTTTATCTATGGAACACACCAATAAAGACAGACTATACACATTTATATTCACAATTTCAGGGATAACATTAGAAATGCAAAAAAAATACAGAAATCTTGCTTTCTGCTAGTGAACTTCAGTTACCTACAAAAGCCAGACAACACGTATTCTGAATTTGTAAGCAGATTAATACTTAATCATTAAAATTCCTTTACACACCAAATCCATTTAAAAGACTTTTACATAATGCACATAAAAAAAAAAGTGCCATGGGTTTCCCACCACTAACTTGTTATCCAGACATACTGCAAAGTCTTTTATAATTAGAAGTATTACCTGTCCTTGACAGCTGAAGCAAGGAGTTATAAATGTCATGACAATCTCTTTCTCTGGGAACAACAAAGTGAACTATCCTGAAGTTCTTGCATTGGATGACAAGGGGGCAGCCAGAAGTAGTCAAGGGAAGTTTTTCCACCGCAGCAATGTGATGATGTAGTATCTGTGGCACACAAGAACTTACGGTGTAAGCACACTGATGAAAAATGAGAACAGCGTGCTATTTACAAAAGCAGATATTAAGCAATACTGAATAGGGATTTTGACTAATTTTATAAATCACTTAGTCATGAAAAGAAATAAATTTAGAAGAAGAAATCCAAGACTGGCATTTTGCTCAAGACACAATAACTCATCAAAATTTAATTACTCTCTTCACTCATATTGAGGTGATACCTAATGTTTGCAATGAGCAGTAAATATCCTCCCAAATGCAAAAATTGAGTAGTAAAACTCTGCTGGGGCTGATAAGTCCTCTTCTGTAACTCAGCTAACTGATACACTTACATCTCATTAGGAAGGCTCCAAATACATTTGGAGGGTTTGTGTTGGGTTTGGGTGGGTTGTTTTTTTTTTGTTTTATTTTAAGAAGGACCTACAGAAACATAATTCAGACTTTTCAGGCAAAATAAAGCAGATCAGGGAAAGCAACTCAACATATAAAAGATACAGCAGACACTGAAGATTTTAGAATTCCAGTATTCAACATCTATAGAACGAGCAGGAGATAAGAACACATCTCCTGTATTACCCACTGCACTATGTAGAAACGAAAGCCTCTCAGCTAAATGCCTTTCAACCACTCTAGCAGAAGACTGCCACAGTAATGGATATGCAAAAGCCCTCCATAGGTTCATCTCTGTGGCAGATCTACAGAAAATTTAAGAAAACACATGGGAAAGAAACAGCTATTCAACCATGGGAAGAAAGCCACAGATACATTACCTCAACAGAACAAAAAAGACTTTCTTGATAGTGTTTCAATTACCTCACTGAAGCAATCATCTCTTCTTAAATATTGATCAGAATTAGACAGGCACCTGAAAACTCTGCTGCCAAATGTGCATTTACAAAGAGACTATATCTTGAGACATTATCATAATTATACTTGATACTTGCATTATCTCACAGAAGTGCAATACTCTGATTATACATTCAATTTCCCCCAAAATGAAACCTTTTAACATAGTGCAAAGGGAGACACAAGTAATGCTTCTGAATCATGTTCTGCCAAATAACCCATTTTGTATGAAAGGATAACAGTTTTGTTTGTACAAAATTGTACACTGCAACCAAGAACAAGTCACAGAAAAAATAACTTTTCTTGAAAGCACTGCAAGGAATCTAGTCAGATAACCAGGATACAGGATTAAGGGTAAAACAGAAAAACACAGCTACAGGTAATACACCTACAGAAGAAAAGTAATTAACTTCATGTAGGGTAATGAGATTCCATACTGAAGGATGATAGACTTCAGGCATTGAACTCAATCAGGTAGCTGGTGATAGTGGAAGTCAGAACTTGATATCCACATGTGCCACCAGGGCACTGAGCAGAAAAGCTAATAGAAATTACTGTACTAGCCAACTTTGATTGTACAACACCAACAGTGGTCACCAAGAACCTGCAGGCCCTTCTGAATTTTTATTCCAGAGGTGAACATCTGAGAAGAAACAGTTGCTTACTGCTTTAAAAAAGGGCATGGGATCTTCAATATTTCACTAAAGCCTAGATCTTTGGAGCTTGCCATCTCATTTAACCTAGGCATGACCTAAATACAAGGTAAGTTAATGCAGAAATTTTAAACCTGATGCTTAAACTACCTGGCAGTCACCCACTCCTGCCTCTGAATTGCATTGCAAGTCAGTTGTTTAAAGAAAACCACCACACACTCAGGAATACAAGCAAAATTACAGCAACTTGGAAGGAAGCGAACATTTTCAACGCTACCCATATTCAACTGCAGCAGTGTCATCCCCAAGAGTACAATCTGCAAGTCATTAACATATTACGATACTGTGAACAAGAGGTACCTTAGATGAGCATTTTAGTAAACAAATTCAACCTTAGATCAGGAAGAACAAATGTATCTGGAGAGCCCATGCTTTGGAGCCGCGAGCATTCATTATCCTTACCCACGTCTCTCTCTGGCTCGAATCGATGAATAAGAGATGAGTTGCTGTCAGGTATAGAGTTCCCGTCAGTGACTTATTGCTCGTGCTGAACCTGTCTAGTAATTTTACTTGCTCTACCTGTAAGAAAAGAAGGGTGGGAGAGCAAAACTTAGTTTTTGCTTTTAACAGAAAGCAAAATCCTAACTTTGCAAAAGATCTGTCAGTTTGTGCAATAATTTTGAAAATGGCAGGCAGCATAACCCAGCGCACACAAGGCTATTCAGGCCAAACTATTAAGAACACAATAGCAGTCACGTAAGCTTTGAGAAGACTGACTAGTTAAAATATCCAGTTTCTATACAAAAGTGCATAATGAAGGCACAACGCTAGGCTCACCAGAATACTTACTCCATACACATAACTACTGTAGTTATTTACTAGAAGAGGCCATGATATCAAGTTTAAAAAAAATAAGAACAATTAATTACTAAGCTTTTAGACTGCTTCCCCAAAACAGAGCAAACATATACTAACAATTTCCTGTTACTGAGATGCCAGCACTGAATTAACAGCTGATCTCAGCAACACGCTTCCTTGGCTGTCTGAAGACTCACAGCCATAAAGATTATGTCCTCCTGACTTCAATTTTAGTTATCTATTGTCTTTTGTGTCATCCCCAACTTTGAGAATCTTGATCATCATAACCTTGCCTCACAGTCAAAATACATTCTAATGAAATGCGAGCATTATGCTAATAATTATAACAATCTCCTTGAAATTCAAGGACTGTGCTAGCATTTGAAGCAGATATTTCAAGCTTGAGCCTTGCAAGGGCAAGTTTCTCCTCCTGGTATTGCATCAACATTGTTGTTATCTTACGGAAAACATTTCAAAAGAAAGTGATTTCTAGATAGCCTGCATTTTATCTGCTGCTCATAACTTCACAGGCTTCACAGTTTGTTTTATTTGAAGCAAACATTACATGATTCTTTGTGTGCAACAACAGGAAAGGAGCGTGGCAACTGGCTTATCTCCATGCCTTCCTCTATTTCTTGGCAGCACTGTCTCATTAATGCCAAGTTAAAGCTCCTATGCTTGAGGCTTCTGCTACTGCCATTAAATGCATGGCAGAACCCCCAAAAACTCCAAAATACCAGCAAAACCAGCACTCAGAGGAAGTGACTAGGAGAGTCCATATCTACTGTGCTGATGTTAAGCCATTTTTAACTCATATGTACAAACTTATTTATCTATTAAAAGCACATATGGAACATTAAAAAGTTCTCTTTTCAATTCACATTTTGGTTTGAAATTTTGGTTTTCAGAGTTAGTAAAGCAACATAACGCTTACAAAACAGAATAGAGGAAATAAAAATATCTACTAAAAGCCAGCACTACTATGATATTCTGGATTTCAGTTTAGAAAGCAAAAATAAAAGATAAAAATGGAAGCTACAAGCATCAGTACCTCAAAATACATTATGCTGTAACCAGCAAGGTATCAGTGCTGAGATACAGAGTGGCAAAAAAAAATCAATATAGCAGGGCCGAAACACAGAGTTCATTTTGGGCAGTTCTGCAGCAGTAACTGCTTGGGTTACCTGGCACTGCACCTCCCAGAAAAATTGAGAAGTGCACAGAAACTACTCCAGTTTTGCTCCAGTAACACAAACCACAAAAGCCTGGCATGTGAAGTTCCATTCTCCTCCATGTAAGGCAGCAGCTATTCTCAAAGCTGCATTTCTATGTTAGATGAGGACAGGAATCAGTACTCCAGCTTCCTCTTACAAAGGTAAAGTCTTACAGAATTCTGAAAGTTACATTCTAAATACACTTTTCTTAAAGACAAATGAAACATAATTTAGATTCAGCACCCACAGATGACGTGTTTATTTAAACTTGACCCAGCTTTAATGGGTACTTAGCTACATAGACACTTTCTCTTTTTGCTTTTTAATTTTAAAGTTTGGCAAATCCTTAGGTATAGAAAAAAATGTCAGTTGTCAGTTTTAAACAAAATGGATTCACAAAATTGAGTGAAGACTGTTGTTGAGTTTTAGCACATCTGTAAACAGAGTTCATTTAAGTAGTCAGAGGTGATATTCTGACACTAGGTAGCACTAACAAATGGGTTGTTTTTGAACCAGTAAGAATTTGAACAGGTACCTCAATAATATATACAGAGTAAATACAGTACAGTACAATATTTACAGAGTATTTACAGTGAAAGAGTCATCATACAGTTTATTGGGATTAGGAGTTACAGACTAAAGGCAAAAAAACACACAAAGAAATGTTTCTATATTGGAAACAAGTTGGAACAGAGAGAAAGGCTGAAACAACACTTAAGTCTTGCATTAAAAAAGATGAAAGATTAAATTAGAACAATTAAAGCAAGACAAAACCAAATTACAGTATATCATTCCAAGATTCCTTTATTACAGCTTTGTATGACATTCACTGAAATTTGAAGGAGTTTTCCCTTCCCCACTTGTCTCAGGCTCACACATAAACTCAGGATTAAGCAGTCAATCTAAACAAAACTTTCCATCTCCAAAACTTTCCATCAGTATTTTCAGTAAAACAGATTTGACTTTAAATATATAAACAGATGTAACTGTTTAACTAGAATTTAAGAAATTTTAGTATTTTCTACTATATTTTGCTTTAAAATATTCTTAAGGACACTTTAGTTCTAAAGCTTCATTACAAAAGCACAATACTCTTGTTTGTAATTTCCCCACCACTTATGATGTAAACCAGTTCACAGTATGTCATTTGTCACTATTTAAGTATATATTCTCAGACAGAAGTGATTTTTAAGTTGACCTCACTTCTTTATTAAATGTAAATGTTGGACACTTTAATGTCACCAAAAGGTTAACTTTATGTTAACTTTTTTAAGTTCTAAGCTGTACTGATAGTTCTAAGACAATTTTAACGTCAATATTTCCAGCAAACTGAAGTTTGAGGAGGAATAAAACATATTTCATCACCTTGTCCTATGGATAACAGCTTCCCTGCACAACGGTTAATTTGTGCAAGACTGCACTGTTATTTGAAGTTTAGTTTAACATTACTTTAATAAAACAAACTGAAAAAAACCAACTGTGAAAAGCTGTCAGATTATAAAAATTAGGTATGTCTCAGAACGACTGGAATCAGATCCAACTTGAACCTGCACATGCACTGAACTTTTAAGGCCCACAGTGCAGGCTGTAATTCAGTTTTCTTGGTTCCTGTAACTGTAATACAGTTATTACCATCTAGCATATATGCATTTTAATCCACCTGGATATGCAGTAAACCAACTGCTTACAAAAAGCTAAGTGAGCATCACAATAATCAAAACCTCATGATATTCCTAGCCATAAAATTGATAGTTTCAGAACTGCTAATTTTTTGTTCAAATTATAAAAATAATTGCTTCAAGTAGTAAGCCTTGTATCTTATAAGTCACATTCAGAGCTTGTTTCTCCCTTCAGTTATATTGCTACATGAAGGACTTTATCCCCAGCAGGGGCCCAAACACATGCAGAAACACAATTACTTGCAGATGCCAAGACAGTGACCTGTAGCCTTTCTGGTCTTATTTTCAGGTCTGAAACTTAAACAGCTCCTCAGATCATCAAGAGACTCTGGTGTTAGTCTAGTTCTTATTTTGAAGTTAGCTATTGCCTGTAACAATATGGTACTGAATTCACAAAGGAGGAGTTCCGGGTTTATAGGTAAACAGGCTGATAAAGAAACATTATCTCCAATCTGTCAGCTTGGTGCAAGACTATTCTATCTAGTAAACTGTAAGCATCGCTAACAGTAACTTCATCAGAGACCTTCCTCCTCTTTCATATATATACATACAAATATATATGAAAAAAAAACCCTAACACAGACAGCTATGCACATTTTAAGCTATTACATACAGCATATTTACATAAGCTATTACACATAGAAGTTAAGAACCTGTTCCTTTATGTAATTATTGGACACGAATCTACTACTTGAAGAGCTGAAATAGGGCCACTCCTTTTCTCCGCACACCTAGAGCTCAATTTAAGGTCAGGGAACTGTATCACTTGACAGCTTGAGGGCCCAGCCCCTCAGCAGCCAGGGCTGAGGAGCAGGGCGAAGAAAAAAACCACTGTCACAAAATTAATCCCATAAAAGCTGTGACTTAAAAAGAAACTCATATTAATAAATATTTAGGAAAAAAAAACGGGGGAAAAAAAGGCCATACGTGTTTTTTTACATATTCGTTAAGGAGGAAAGACAAACTAATACACCCAGAGCGTGGAGAGCACCGGAGCCAGGCACCCCCCCACCCTCCCCCGGGACCGGGGACATCCCGAGCGGCACAGGCCGCCCCGCAGCCCCTCCCGGGAAAGCACCAGTTACAAAATGGAAGGAGGAGAAGGAAAACAACGCCCTGGCCCACAGCTGACAGCGGCGGGGCAGGGACTCACCGGACCGAACAGGCCCTCCCCGCCCCACAGTTACCGGCAACGCCGCCGCTACCCCGACCGACTGACCACCCTACCCCCGGAAAAGCCGCCGCAGCCGGCGGTGGGAGGCCGGGACGGCGGTACCTTGGTGGTGCGGATGTGCTCCATAGCGGTGCCCGCCCGGCTGCAGCCCCCGCCCGCCGCGCTGCTGCCGGGCCGGGGCGGCCGTCTCCTAGAAACGCTTCCGGGGCGGGGCGGGACGGCACAAAGGCGGGGCCGAGGCCCTGCAGCGCCCCCTGGCGGCGGGCGGGGGGGGAGACACCACCTCTCTCTCAGCGCGGCGGCGGCATGGCCGCAAGCGTGATGGCGGGTGGGGGGGGGTTCATGAAGTACGGCCATCCGGCGGTGGAGGGGACGGACCGGGCCACGCTGTGTCCCGCGGTGACCCAGGGATTCTCTGTGAGATTCTGGGGGCGCGGGAGGGGCTGTGGCTGCTGTGCTGTGAGGCCAGGGTGGAGTGGCAGTAGCTGTGTGGAAAACAAGAGCCATTCCCTGGTTACCCAAGCTGCTGTTCATGGCATGGAGAGTTGCAGTCTTTTAGAGCCTTGTAATGGGGAAATTCCTGGAAGATGGTCCTTTTTCTTGTAGGTCACAGAATCGCTGATGGGTTGAGGTGGGAAGCGACACAGAGCTGGTTGCCCAGGACCGTGTCCAGCTGGCTTCTGAGCATCGCCAAAGGTGGAGACTCCACTGCCTCTGCAGACAGCCTGGGCCAGTGCTCAGTCACCCTCACGGGGAAAAAGTGTTTCCTGATGTTCAGAGCGAATCTCTTGTGTTTTAGTTTGTGTGCGTTGCCTCTGGTTTTGTCACTGGGCACCGGTGAGAAGAGCCTGGCTCCATCCCCTTTGCACCCTCCCTTTATTTATGCACATTGATAAGATCTCCCAAGCCTTCTCTAGGCTGAACAGTCCCAGCTTTCTCAGCCTTTCCTCATGGGAGAGATGCTCCAGTCCATCAGCTTCGTGGCCCTTAGTTGGACTCCTTCCAGTATGTCCATGTCTCTCTTGTATTGAGGAGCCCAGCACTGGACACAGCACTCCAGGTGTGCCCTCACCAGTGCTGAGTAGAGGGGAAGTCCCTCCATCTGCTGGGAATACTTTACCTGGTGCAGTCCAGGATGGCATTTGCCTTTTTTGCTGCCTTAATTGCTGATTCATGTTCAATTTGGTGACCACTAGGACCCCCAGGTGATGGAAAGCGGCTTTCCATCTGGCTGGCCCCCAAGCGTGTACTGGTGCCCCAGGGTTGTTCCTCCCCAAGTGCAGTACTTTGCACTTCTTGTTGACGCTGGGTTCGAAGTTGGCGCCGGGCGCGATGCGGCGCTGAGGGGGAGCTGAGGGGGCCGCTCCCGCTGCTGTCGCCGCTGAGGAGGCCGCCACCACCCCGCCCTCCCCGGACCCCGGTGCCGTCTCCCAGCCCCGCTCCTCCAGCCGTTCCCGCCGCTGCCGCCATGTCTGCGGGCTTCTCGAGTAGAGGGGAAGTCCCTCCATCTGCTGGGAATACTTTACCTGGTGCAGTCCAGGATGGCATTTGCCTTTTTTGCTGCCTTAATTGCTGATTCATGTTCAATTTGGTGACCACTAGGACCCCCAGGTGATGGAAAGCGGCTTTCCATCTGGCTGGCCCCCAAGCGTGTACTGGTGCCCCAGGGTTGTTCCTCCCCAAGTGCAGTACTTTGCACTTCTTGTTGATCTTCAGCCTGTCAAGGTCCCTCTGGATGGCAACACGACCCTCTGGCGTATCAGCCACTCCTCCCAGTTTGGTGTCTTCTGCAAACATGCTGAGGCTATACTCTGCCCCATCATCCAGGTCATTAATGAAGACGTTAAATAGGACTGGACCCAGTATTTACCCCTAGGTCACTACTGGCCTCCAACTAGACTTTGTGGCACTGATCACTTCCCTGTGGGCCCAGCCATTCAGCCAGGTTTCAATCCACATCCCTGTCTGCTCATCCCCACACTCAAGGCCACATCCAGCCTCTACGGTGACAGCTTCTCTGTGAGGATCTTACTGGTAACAGTGTCAGAGGCCTTGCTGAATTAAGAACTTGCTGGTAAAAGTGTGTTGGAGGAATTAAAGTTTTAGGCTGTACAAGAACAAAGTGAGAAGCTGCACAGTGTAGTAGCTCAACCATGTCGTAGCTGTGTGGGTCCTGGTGCACAAAAATCTTGTGTGTGCTGCACAGTAGTTGAGACGTGATAAAACTTAGCTTAAAGGTTGCAGAAGACTTGACAAGGTCTTGAACTTAAAGTTTTTGAGTGGTGACATTTACAGACTGTCATGAGTTATGAAAATCGTTCTGCAAAGGCATCACTCTTTCCTTGACAGATCCTTTTTTCCTGTTATGCCAATATATCTTGTCGCTTCTTGGCCTGTCAGATCAGAAGAACGTGTTCAGAAATGACTTTACAGAAATCACTCTAAATGTGCCATTTAACATTTCCACAGGTTTGGGTCTTTGGTTTTTTTAGGATTTTCAAATATAGAATACATGGATTAAACATCACAAATCACACGTAACTGAGCCTGAAGCTCTGCCTTGTGTAAAGAACAGCAATCCAGTCACCCATAAATAATCTCAAACGTCTTTTCAGTAAATAATACCCATCAGCCTGTCACTGCAAACTGGCAGATAAAACTTTCTAAGACTCAGTTTAAAGTTTTAGAAAGCAGGCGGTCTTTATTGCAGCGCTGAGGATTGTTCCTCCTGTTGTGCACGCCGAATGCTGTTGTCAAGCCAAATTTATACACGACAGGTATACATATTCAATGTAATTCCAAGAAAACATTAGCATATTAATTAGATTTTTAAGAAGTCATTTACATATTATAATGAGCTTTTAGGCATGCGTAGTCATGCCTTCAGGTGGTCCTCATTTTGAGTGAGGGTCATTTCTTCCTCAATCTTCATCTTCATCTGTCCTTTGGCTCACTTTTCATGTTGGCAAAACATTCTGACCGCTTAATTAGTCATTAAATCTAATGATCTTCCTGCTACCACCTGTTTGTCAGACAACGTCCATATTTATTGCATCTTTGTCTTACGCCACAATGTTCTTAAGGCCACATACATCCTTTCTTATCTTATGAAGTCCTTGAAACAATTTACGATGGTTACTAAAATAACTGTATTTCTTCTCTAAAAGAACGTTCCCTACAGTTTAACCATTTACAGAATACGTGAAGTCAGCTTTAGGTGTCGAGCCCCCTGTTGCCTTTAGCAGCCACAGCACTGAGCAGTGGAACAGAGAGGCGTTTGCATTGTTTGGGATGCTTTGAGACACTCTGAGGTCATCGCATAAAACCTTTCGTAGCGCTAGGATTCATCTAGACTATCGGGTAGATTTAAAAGAGAAGTCTAGTAATGCCTATTCCGGAGCAAGGAGTCTGCAGGACACGCTGAGAAAACTCCCCTGCATTTCAGCAGTGCCTTCTTACGGTTCCCTGGTTTCACATGGAAGATGCATCATGATCCAGTGGCCGGACAGGGCAGGGATGGAGCCCCTACAGCAGCTTTGCCTGGTGCCCTGTGGCATACGTGTGTGCAGGAGAGCCTGGTCGGGAAAGCAGCAGCGGTAGTTTGGGCAGTAAACGCAGGCAGTAATTAGTAATTCAGTTGGTGATGTTGAGGTGCTGTAGTTTGCACAACTTCTGGAGAAGGTCCAAGGAAGGCCTTACAGCCAGGGGCCTTCCAGTAGCTGAAGGGGGCCTACAAGAAAGCTAGAGAAGGACTTTTTACAAGGGCATGTAGCGATAGGATGAGGGGTAATGGCTTCAAACTGGAAAAGGGTAAATTTAGATTGGATATCAGGAAGAAATTCTGTAGTGTGAGGGTGGTGTGAGAAACACCGACTCACGTCTTAGAATTTAAAGAGGACAAAGTCACCGAAGCAAAGGTTAAAAAAAAATTATTAATATGAAACAGCGCTGAATCAGGAGGCTGAGGGGAGACCTCATCACTCTCTACAACTACTTGAAAGGACACTGTAGAGATTGGTGCTGGTCTCTTCTCACAGGTAATTAACGACAGAATAAGAGGGAACGGCTTCAAGCTCCAACAGGGTAGGTTTAGACTGAACATTAGGAAGGAATTTTTCGCAGAAGGTGTGGTTGGGCATTGGAATAGGCTGCCCAGGGAGGTGGTTGAGTCACCATCCCTGGATGTGTTTAAGAGACGTTTAGATGGGGTACTAAGGGATATGGTGTAGGGGAGGACTATGTAGAGTAGGGTAGATGGTTGGACTTGATGATCCCAAGGGTCTCTTCCAACCTGAATGATTCTATGATTCTATGAATCGGGTGCACCAAAAATAGATGCACGATGATCTTTCAGCTTTCAGGAATTTTATACCCTTATCCCGGCCGCCCGAGTTTCTGTCTCTTCTCATTGGCTGAGAAGTTGGAGCTCACATTCTTCCCAACTGCCTGACTTAGTACAGGTTTAGTTTGCACTTTTTTGCCATATAAGGCACACATACACCTATTCTACGAAATCGTTATCCTAAACATGCCTTTGATTAGTTGATTATGCTACACGTTATTACACAGTCTTTGCTACCATCTACTTGGCAGATTTACTGTCCAAGACTGGTTTCTTTGGCCTTATTGATACTCCCCTACACTCTGGGTTCCTGTGTCGAAGGCCGTGTCCCAGCCTCTTTCTCTTCCCCTAGATAACACTCTGCATACCAGGATTCCTTGACAGAACAAGGGCATTTCTGGGGATTAATTGGATACAATTTATTAGACTCTACTATCACTATGACTCCTTTGTTAGTACTGACACACTAACAATATATCAATTAGCTGAAACAAAACTTAGCTCATTTCCCACAGTGGTGAGACACTGGAACAGGTTGCCCAGAGAAGCTGTGGATGCCCCATCCCTGGAGGTGTTCAAGACCAGGCTGGATGGGGCTTTGAGCAACCTGGTCTGGTGGGAGGTGTCCCCCCCCACAGGGGGTTGGAACTGGGTATCTTTAAGGTCCCTTTCAACCCAAATCATCCTATGATTCTGTGAGGAGCCGGCAGATCCATGGGGATCTATGAGGATTCTGTGAGGATCTGCCTCGGAGAGACAGAGCAGAGCCACGCGCCGTGGTGCTGGCTGCAAGCCCCGCTTCAGCCGCAAATTAAGCATGTTTGGGGATTTTAATGGAATTTGTGTTGGAGGCTCTGGGAGGGG